CCAGTAACAAAAGAAATTTGAAAAATCGAGATATAAAAAACTCCCAATGGCACTACCGGCGCGCCATACAATACCACTATGCGGCGCTATCTTTCTTTCTGTGTTGTTTATGAGACACGCTTGAGTGGGCAGGTGAATTGGAGGTTAGTACACATAAGCTCGACATTTTTTAGATTTTAAATAGTAGGTAGGACTTAAATCTACATCATCCTGTCTGTGCCGAATCTGATAAAGACTTAAGCTTGTTGTTGTTGCCGTAGCTTTGCTACCAACTCTTCAATTCCTTTTCCTGTCCGGAAATTTATGCTAGGGCTAGGCCTTCTGTAAATTTATCACTTCAGTGCAGTACAGACGCCCAACCAAGGTTCAGATCACATAACATTCCACCGGTCAACTGATGAGAGTCTGGTAAGTCTGGGCCTGACCAGCAGAATGGTGCTGATATATCCTTGCATTGGCTTAGGTTTTTTATTATTGTTACTACTGGGCTCAGTGTCTGTGTGGACAGATTGTATACATACAGGGTAAAAATTCAAGATTTAACTATCGATGGAGGTTTTTCCCATTTTTTACACATAAGTAAAGCAGTATGATGAATGACACCCGAAAGAAAATATTCTTTGTTGTACCATTAAAAATAAAAATTTAAGAAAAATCCTCTCATTATAATATTAATAAACGAATTTTGTTTGCATAATTCTGTAGTTCTCTTTATCCAGTTTGTTTGGCAATGTCTTCATTTCATTTACGTTACTGTGCATAATTATTTAGTAAAATAGTCACAACGCATGATTTTGAATAAAACCATTTAAACATATACATTACTGTAAATGTTTGATGATAATCTGTGACCAATAATCATTTTCTCAGCAATGGCATCTTTATCAGAACAACCACATTCACACTGCCAAACATGCGTCCAGATGTTCTGTCGTGAAAGGTTACCATGCGAAATGATACAGTGTGAACTCAGCTGCGGTGCATCGTTTCATGCATGTAAGCTGGAGGAACACAACATTTTATGCCAGAACAGTTGGGTCAATTGTGTCAATTCAGGGTATGGCTGTCCCCTTACGATGCCTCGCTGGCAGATAATGAACCATATTAAAAGATGTCCAGCAAGTGTGGTTCATTGTACCATGGAATGGAACAGACGGATTGCTACATCCCATCATCACTTCCAACTACCTGAGTATTCTTCTCAAAAAGTGCACAGCTCTCAACTTGATGTCGCCTTAGCTGTAAGAGATCAACAGGTACTATTGCAGTCCAGAAGGGATGCCCGGTTCTTAAAAGTATCATTGCCATCATCGTTGTCATCACCTTCAGTACAGCAGAAACCAAAGGATTATATCTATGATGTTAAATGCTCACATTGTGATAGAAGAAAAGCAAGATTTGAAAAGCGGTATGGTGACCCTCGACCTCATGGAGAAAAGACCGAAAATGGAGAGGCTGTTACTTGTACAGATAAAACAAGAACGAACAGAAATAGTTGTATGAACAGTGAAAAGCATTCAGGAGGAAATACTAAAGAAGACTGTAAAAATGAAGTACCACGCCTCAAGAAGTTGTCAGTTGGTCCTTTAAAAGGCAACATGGCATCTCTTGAACAGCTGACGCAGGTTTCTCAAGCAGTAGAAGACCACCACCAAGTGACTGTCGATCTCACTCTTGAGTCAATGCCAAGATATCAACGCAAACCAGACTCTATGCATACGTTCCTATGTGCAAAGGTTGGTAGCTTTTATCATTACTAATGTTTGTCTTGAATGTTAAGTGCAGTATCTTACTTGTAATGAACAGTTGACATAAGTTTTCTATTGTATGCTTCATTCATGAATGTTTCTTACAATATAACCATATGAAGTGAAATTAATCATTAGAAAAAAAACCTTGCATTTTATAGGATTTATTCCCAGCAACTGTAGGAATGGAATGCAAGTATGTTAATGACATACTACAGCTCTACTTTTACCATCTTAGATATAGTTAAATAAATTTGCAATAATTGTTAAATAATTTGTCTTTCCCAGGACTTCCGGAGAGATGAGATAAATCACCATGTCCAGAATGTCCACAGTGAAATCCACGCTGGTCTTAATGGATGGCTTGAGCAGCGGTGTCCCCTAGCCCAATATGGATGTACCTTCAGCCAACACAGGTTTCACCCAGACAACAAAGGTACAAAGGTAATTTACAGTCAGGAGATGGAGAGCTTTGGAGTGAAACCAAAGTCAGTACGCCATCGGGGATCTGCAGGCGATCTCGATGAGGAATGTGTGAAAGTGAATAAGAATGTTATAAAGACAAAATATGATCTCATCGGTACTGACTACATTAGTCATCTTCCACTGGAACTTCTTAGGTACATTGTAAGAATGTTAGATGCCTTCAGTATATCATCTCTGTCGCTCACCTCCCATTTATTTCGCCAAGTTTGTTGTTCATTGCTAGAAGAAAAGGGACTAGTTGTGCCAAGATGGAGCAAGAAAGATGGGACTTGGGAAGCTAAAACTATGGTGAGTTTGTGCAATTTTCTTTGTGTTGTAGGGAGAAAAAAGACCTGTGACAATGACATGCAATCATGAGAGTGCTCCGTGTGTGTTAATTTTTGGACAACTATCAAACATTCAATTAAAACATTAAATTGCTTTTTTAAATGTATCAAATATCAATTCAGAACAGAACACAAAAGACATTTACAGTCAAAGGTATTAGACAAGCTAAAAGCTTTAGAGTGTCTTCTTCAATGACTTACTACAGTTTTGCTTATTGTCTTGCAGGTATGGCGCTTCTCCACATCGTTTACTGGCATTACATCCTGGAAGTTTGGAGAACCACACATTATGTCAGAACATCTTAAATCATGTGCTTACAACATTCGTATACCAGTTACTAAGGAGCGCGTAAGGGTCATCACCATTAGAGGAAGCAGATAGAGGTCAATGGACTCCCTGAGATCTATTTTGCTCAATACTGTCAAACCATGTAGATTCTTGCGTAACTTGTCTATGGTTGAAATCCACCATTCTACTCCTATGCTGCCAATACTAGGTCGATCATCATTCTCGCATGAAGATTTTAATGGCCAGTTGAAGACTTATCTTTTTAAATAATTTTAACCACAAACTTCAGCGTTTTTTTACTTTTGTTCACTCACTTTCGGAATAATAGACCTTTCCAGAGTGTCAAGCAATCTTAACAAATATGTGCGTGTCATACAAACACTAGTGTAAAAAAATATGCATGTGTTTGTGCATGTTTTTTTACACTGTCATTTTTGAAGGACCTTAGCAACAATATGCAACGGTTGGGATAGCAAAAAGATCCGTCACACAGGTGCCCATATCATTATAATATCTGTCAAATCACTTGCTGGCTAGCCTTCTAAGCTAGTTGGTGAAATGTTGTGATGCTAAGTGAATCTGTTTATTTTACTGCTTTTGAGTGTTTTCCTTTGTGTAGTTTTTTAAAATAATTATTTATAATATTGAGGCCTTGAAAAAATGCTTATTTTGCAGTAGGTGAACAACTACACAATGAAATTTTTGATTAAGCACAGACACTGCCCCATTGCTTTTCTGCATGGAGAAAAATGGCCAGAGAATGATTTGTTTGGTTATGTTTTATGTGTGACCAGGGTAATGTTAAATTGGCACTAGATTCAAACGAGCCAGATAAATGATTAGTTTAACAATGAAGTTTTTAGTGGAATGGTTCAACCATAATAGTCCAATTCAAACATGAATAAAGTGTGCTTGGCAATTAAAACGATCACTTAACGATATGTTTATTAGAAGGGGCACTTGTCACAGTTACGATGGCAAGATATATACAGTAATGCCATCTAAAACTAATTTATTCCAACAGAGTTTTTTTTTTAAATACTTTTCAATTTTGTTATTTGAATAAAATTGCTTAGTGTAACTAAGACTGTTTTTAATCAATATGCGAGTGACAATCTCAGTTTCAATTTTGAATATTATTCAGACTATTTTTTTGATATATATAGTTAGACAATAACTAAAGTGAAGGCTGAAAAATAGTTTTCATTAGCAGTGGATACACCTAGTTGCATGCTCTTTTAGTGTATTATGTGTCACTACTAGATTATTTTATACACTAATTGTTATAAATTTTATAATGTATTACTAATGTTATTATTGGTGTCAATTCACAGCTTGTTATGCTATGTTATTCTATTTTAGCTATGTTTTTTTATCTAATAACCCTATCAGAAAATTATTTTAATACAGTATAAAACATTAAATGAGATAGAGTGACTGATTCTTTATTAATCATAAAATTGTAACTACACAGCCCTAGTTGCCAAGATCGCTGTATACAATTTAGCTTGTTGATTACATAGTTACCAACCTGAGAGATTTTAAATGCGTGACTACACCTGTTGGGTGTGGGGTTGGGGGTGTGATCCAGGGCTGGAACCCCAGGTTCCAGTCACATAATCAAGGGTTGGTTGTGACAATGAACGCGCAAGACCGCATGCAACTACTCGATTCTACTAAGTGCGTAGTTGTCTTGGTTGTTTTGGTCGGGAAAAAAGTTACTCTGTGAATTGATTCTCGAACGAGATAACCAAAGCTCTCTAATGACTCAATCTACTGCATGACCGTTTTTATATTTTTAACAAAACCAATATCTTCTAATTTTAAATACATTTTCCCCTGAATTCGTGATAATTCGATATCACACATAGACTTATGCTAAATGCATGACAAATTTATGATCATGCATGTGTTTCTGCAAAATGCGTGTCATCCAAAATCACCTTGAAATGCAGGACGGTTGGTAACTATGCCATTTTCAGCCTCTCAGTGTAATATATCCAAGTTTCTTTATTTGAGAATAGAGTTAATTTTAGCTGTGATGGGAATCAATATATTTTTGCCAATATTGAACTTAGGGTCTTGAGATTAGGAGGTGAGCATGTGTTTCAAAAAAAGCTTTGTTGTACCTTGAACAAGTTAAGTTCTATTAATAACTCAATATAATCGTTTTTATGGAAGCATTATTTGGCAATAATTTTTATAGTAAAAGCTAATATTTGATAATGTTTTCATTTTATTCTAATAAAGTTAGAAGTAAAACATATTTATATATTTATTAATCTATGAATTGCAGAAACAAAGTAAAAAATAGGTGGGATATTGATTATAAGTGCAATGGGAAGAATGTTTCCATTACTTGAAATATCTTATTGAATGAAAATATTTCCATTTCACAAATAATAACATTCATTGATTTATTATAAATAAAATAGGTTCTTGTTATTACATTTTTTATGAAAAATATAGTCGGGTATACTTTTCTTCCAAATGAAACAGTCACTTTTTAACATTGTATTACTATTAGCTGGAGGCATGCAATGGAACAAAAATGAACAGAAGAAATATGAATGAAATAGAGATAAATAATGATGCAAATGAGAAATATATTAGTTTGACATTAACTAGTGTAAATGACCAATATCATGTGATATTAATCCAACCAATCAAATGTCAAGGGTCTTTATAGGTGTTTTATAAAGTAAAATGTTTGAAAACAAAAATAACAGAATAAAAGAAAATTATGTTGATAAGTAGGTACTAATTGCTAGTTACTGAATTAACATTTTTCGAAAAATGCACATTTTCAGCTAATAAAATTCAGATTACATGCGTTTATCACTTTGTTCAGTCTTTTCTTAAAGTAAAGTGCACACTGAATCAGCATCGCCAGCCGATGCGAATCCTCAACACTACGACGGATCATTTTCAGCAGTTTTCCACTAAAATTGCCATCGACAGATGGTCAGCTCAGAAAGGATTGTATTCAGTTACAATCCACTCAGACATTGCATCAGGCAAGTGCTGTTAATCCTGCTTCCATAAAAATGCTACACTGTCGCCATAGTATGAGTGTTTTCATTGTAATCTTTACACTGTGTAGACCCTAACTGTCCCCGATGCAATCAGGAAGGCACCCTTCTTTTTGACCAATCAATCAGCTTAGCGATTTTATAGAATGTAGGCTTCACAGAATGTCAGTCGAGGAAGTTGAGCACGTAGAAAACTTCTCAAGTTCTCTTCTATTGTATTACCTGAAGCCACGTTTGTGGAGAAACTCGTGGCCTCTTATAAATAACCTAATCCTAAAGTGCAGGTCTTTGCAACATAAGCCCTGTCAAGACAAAAAAAACATGTGACATGCCTGAATATGGTCATGATGACATCACATCATGACCATATATGGGCACATCATGATTATGGCATACAAAAGTTTCTTGTCAAAGAAAATTTGATAATCTGGACCTAGCTTTATATACATTACAAATAATTTACTGCTGTCCCGATGGTTATATTACAAGCTTCAACTGGCTGGTTGCATCTGGGTAAACTGTTCAAGATATGGTGCATCTTTTAATTTACTCTCGCGTTCCTGAAATGTTCCAAGACCACTAGACATATGTGGTTTTATACCTGGTGCACCATTCTGTTCAGAAACAAAATGATTTAGGTGTTCGCCTCTATATCCCGTGTGCCGAAAACGTTTGACATGCTCTGAAAAGGTATCAGGCATTAATTGCATATTGCTAGCATCTATATTTCTTTCATATGGTACTTGATACATATTGTCCTTTGAATGAGTTGAATTATTTCGTATGCTACCATGACGATTTTTCCTTTTCCTTTCTCTTTTCCTCAGGGTTGCAACTTCTGAAAAACCATGCTCATGCGTTTGTCTCATCGACTCTGTGTGCTCATTATGAACATCTCCTACTCATTTCCGAAGAAGGTGTTGCATTCTTTAGTGCACGTACGGTAATTGATTGAATTGAGAATATCTTACCTACAAACGTTTGTCTTTTCAGACTTTCCTTCAGATCGATGGCTCTTGATTGAGCCAACAGCATTCCAATTGAGTATGTTACATAGTCATCAAACATCAGGTGCATTAAATGATAGGATCCTAAATGTACGAATCAGATAGTTTTAACATACGTGGGTTGGCACAATACAGTGGAATCAAAACAGAGGCTGCCAGATCGTGTGGATTTTCTTTTCACTGACTTGTGTCACAGATATTTTGTCAGCAAAGACAAAATACAACTAGATAATTACTAAATAATACGAGTAAGCAAACAATTGAATCAATTACAAACAAATAGGCCTATGAAGCCCTGTCCAGGCCATCAAATTTTATTTGACAAAATCGTCGCTCACGTCACGAACTAACACAATTAAATTCAACTGTGTTAGTTCGTGAAATCAAAAAAGCGCGTCAAAATACGCGCTGTTGTCGTTAAGGACTTTTTGTGTGGTAAAGAATACAAAATTGCTTGACAACCAATACGCGCTCGTTTTGACGCGCTACTGTGATTTCACCAACTAACACAATCTACTTTGATTGTGTTAGTTCGTGATGTGACATGCCTAATTAATGTCATGATGACTTCACATCTTGACCATAGGCATATATAAGCACATCTCACTACTTATAGCATACAACAAGATTTATTGTATTTATTTTGTTTATATATTTTTTATGGCAGTATATATAATGTATCAATGTGACAGAAATGGACGGCATAATTTGTGTATATATAAAAACAAACTTACCAAAGCTTGGAGCGCTATGCAATGTGAGATCACGGATAATTCGTGTACTGACGCTTGACCAATTCAACAAAAAGAATCTAGCAAGTTTCTCCAATCGAAAAGAGTTATCTGTAGATGGCTAATAAAGATAAGAAAATGTCATTAAGTACTCAATACCTAGAGGAAAATGAATTTACTGAAAAAATTATTGTAATAATATGCCTACATGGTGTTCAAACTACTAAGTTAGTGTACGGTAAAATGTCAGGTTCGGGAGTTTAATTCTTGTAAAAACGAAGGACTCTCCAATCTCGTCCAAAACAGCTCTACTGAAACAGTTATCATGTAATTGTCAATGTTTAACAACGGTTTAGTTTGTGTCTTATCATTGTTTAATTGTTTTTGTTTGCTGTCGTTGCTGTTGCGTCGACGGTAGGCCTACGACATCAATGTACATGTTTTTGTTTTTGTTTTTTTTAAAATTATATATTGGCATTCGCCCCAATTTCAATTTCCAATCTCTATAGGTAAGCGTTTACTTACACCTACCTTAACAATACCCCTGTCTATTATCGAATCCAACCATTCTGTATAAGATTCTATTGACGCATGATCATCAAGTAAACATTCAAATTCCTGATAAACTATGAACAAATTATTATTTTTATTAGTATTAAAGTATTGGAAAACATATTATCAATCAACCAAGTCGTTAGACATCGATATAATTCATTCATCCATTTATTTGACCCTTGATTATGGTGGGGAATGCGGGTCACTGGTACCTTAATAGAGTAACGTCCACAACCCGAGATGCATAGTTGCTCCTACAGGTTGTTTTTGTATTGTCTTTCTGGCAAATATTAAAACTTAAATTAAATACTCTTGGAGAATAAAATATTGAATAAAACTGAATTTATTTTTTTCGCGGCTATAATAATACTTGATCATATGTTTGTACTGTAGGCCTACTACCGCTATGTTTTCTGCAAATGAACCGGAAGATCATTTAAGTCACCAAGACATATGCATTCTCTTCGATTTATTAAATGAACCTTTACCACAATATTATCCAAATACTTACAATTTACTATGAGGTGCACGATATCTTCACATCTGTGCTCATTTAATGTATACATAGTCTGTTGTAAAATACCAGGGAAGTCTACCAGTTCCCAATCTTCTAACATCTGCGATACTATGTCAGAATTGTGAATTACAGTCTTTGATGCCTGTAAACAGAAGGATTTCTTGGGAGTGTAACTTGGTTATTTTATTCGTTTTACAATTGCATGTCAAAAATAATATAGAAAAAAAATCACATTCAAGAGGCTTTCTTTGTTTAGCGGTATGATGACATTGGCAGCGACTACTCCATTTGACATAACATTTACGACAACCACTGGGCTACTACATGGTCTCCGAAACCGATTTAAGGCAATGATCTTTTTGTATTCATAACAAAAGCACATTAGTTCTCTAAGCATAGTAACGCTGATCTTGTGAAGCACTTTCATTTTAAGCTCTTGTCGTTTCATACCGAACTTTTTTTTTTCTTAAAGAAGCTGTTTTGCAACATTGCAAAATGCTATCCTATTTCTAGTTGGGACTCTTTTAACAATTTATTCTACGTGTTTAAAAATTATGTTTTTCGCAAATAATATAATATCCAATGAACAGTGAATTCAGACGAGATATGCTTACCTGACAAAGGTGGTTGAGGGAGGTCTGTAATTTGAGTAATTCTGTAAAGCCCTTTGACACTTTAATGAAGAAAAAATATAATATATTAAACTGCACTTTAAAAAAAAAACATGTTGAAACCGTAACAAAAATGCAGTTAATTCTACACTTTTTCCAGTGAATTGGTGTGCTCAAATGCGACAGAATTATGTGTTTTTAGTGTTTTTAATTGTATTACTGTACTGGGAATTTGTTAATATGTTTTAAATATAATTATTATAGTCCATCGTCAATTAACGCAGTTTATTTTCCAATTTTTAAATAAACAAATAGAAAGTCATTCGTAATATAGCCAAATTAAATTAAAAAACACCCACCCATTGGGAAATTTTCATTTATATCATTCAATCGACGAACTCAAACACTTTTGATAACGATAAATCATAATATTCATTTGTATAGCTAAGTAAAAATGTTATGTAAGAGCTCAATTAAACACTGTTTTCAATGTCAATATTTAGAAAACATTCTGTTAATAATCAACATCAGTTAATAATTGCTGTCAAGGTAAACTTAAACTCTTGTAATATAACCTACCCTGAAATTTAACGAGCCTCAAGTTTTCAGGTAAATTACTAAGGGCAAATTTCAGCCAATCATCAAGTTCGTAAGCAAATTTTCGAATCACCTGCGTCAAGCTATCTGGCAGGGCTTGTAGGACGGATGGCATCAGTACACTTGCTATGGCCTGTTGAAGTAGATCTCATTCGATCATTAAATTCTTCATAATGATCATAAATAATAACAATAATAATAATAATAATAATAATAATAATAATAATAATAATAATAATAATACATGGTAATCGTATTATTGTCATTGTTATCATCATTGTTATTTATTATTACTGTTCATTATTTTCATTAGACCTATTATCATTAATTATTTACCTTCTCATCAGTGGCGTACCAATTTCTACGGAGGAGCGGTGGGGGCACACAACCTAAAAAACCTGCCCCACGCCATCCCCCTCCTCTTCGAAATTTTTGAAGCAAAAAAATTTCGTTCAACTAAATAAAAATCACCTCATATCTCCTTATTTTGCGAGGTAGTGCCCCCTCACTTAATATTCGAGTCTCACCTCGAACCCCCCCCCCACAATATTTAAAGATTCCTATATGCACCAATGTTTCTCATCCTCCTTTGAAAAAGACGAGGACGAGAAGCTTTAGCAATTTTAATTTGGTCTTACCTTGTATAAAATCGAGTCACAAACGCCCACAATATTAACGACAGAAGTTGAGTCGAGTATTGGAATGATATGCGAAGGCATTCCTTGCCAGAAATGAAGTAAGTAGTTTTGCACTTCATCAAAGTTTGCCCGTATCACTGTATCAAGTATGCGTTGACAATGGGTCCGATACATCATAATAAATGTTGAAACCTAAATTAAAGAAATATAGTAATCATTAATGACTATTGAACAACGAATAATATTCTAACAATAAAAGTACAGTACAAAGCCTGGTTTCCAAAAAAATGCTTCAATGTCTTTACTGCAAATTATTACAATGTATAGCGGTCCTCGATGCAATAGGAAGGCTCCCCGATCTGACCGGCCAATCAACATCGTATAAAAGCTTTCGGCAATGGTGTGTAGCGATATTATGGAAGCAACCTAAATCAGCCTGAATCAAGCTTAACAACAACATCAACAGAAGCAACAGCAACACAACACAAATAACAATAAAAAATTATATAACCTTTGCTTCAGGTACATTTGGTGGTAAATTTATATCCCTTATATCTGGAAATTCTGGAAGAAGTGTTCCAAGCTTAGAACGAGGAGAATATGCAATATTTTGCTTTGCTGCGTCTTTCTTTGTTGATTCACTTCCAACCCTGAAAAAACAAGGGGTTAAAATTCATTGCATATTAGAATGATACTACTTTAACAATCACTGTTTTATCATCAAAATTGATTTTTATTGGCAGTTGTAGTAGTAAGAAATAAAATTATATAATAAAATAGGCCTATTAACAATAACAATAATGATGATGATGATGATGATGATGATGATGGTTATTATTATTACTGTGTTATGACGATGATAACGATGACGATTGTGATGATGATGATGATTGTAACGCAATATAGCGAATGATATACATGATATACATACCCTGGTGCGCCACTCTTTGAGTACATGGCCTCATAATACACCGATGATTCTTTTATAGCTATTCCATAGTAGTGGTACCTAAAAGGGTAATGAAAACATTCGATACACTTGGTTTATATCCTACAAGTTATAAATTCTTGTGATCAGACTGATTAAATATCACACAGGTACTAACATACTATCTATGTTTTGTTGGATAAACATTTTAACAATTCATCATTTTATGCCCGTTTACTTTGACAATAAAAGTGGTAGAGCCATCTTACTTTGACTGCCCTCGTGTTCCTAAGCGTCTAGTAGTCAGTTGAGAAAATTGCTGTCGTATTATCTAATTCAGCATAGGGAAAAATGAAAATCGGGTCATTGATATAAAATTTAGTAAAAGACATCAATTTTTCAGTTACGTTTTTCATAAAATATGTTTTTAAAACGTACGCAAAAAAATGTTTGTTGCCTGTAAGGTAAAGGTAAAGGTTCGAAACCTGAAGTAGGCCGGAGTGCCCATCTCTCTTACTTTAGCGTATCTACGTTCAAACATATCCGCACTCGCTCCCCTCTCATATACAGTTTCACTCGTTCATTTCTCATTAATCTCACTCGATAAATAACAAATCTACGAATCTGCTCACCTTTCCAAAACTTGCTGCATTTACTGGTATCGTATCCGTTTTCTCACAGAAATCCATATAATGGAAATATAGAGAACTTCTTGGTATGCACACGCCTTCTGCTAGTTCGTAGTTTTCATCAAGCCTGCAAGTAAATTTGTATCACATCGCTTTAACATT